GGCGGTTGACGTGCGAGAACGTGACCCAGAGCACTTCGACAGTAAATAAAAGCTATAGGGACATTTTTTTCTACAAAGAAAAAAATGGTGTACCCATAACTGAAAAGCGGACGTGGGCACAGGTGAATTCAGCCCATCACCACTACAGGAGACTTCTTATCTCATTAAACGCCAGCTAAAATGGCTTTCCGGTTCGAACAACTTTCTTACGTAGGGCTGTAATAGTAACTACTTTGCAGTCTAATTCGAAGATATTTCAATCACTTCAGAATGTCAACTTTTGAATGAGTATTTCTCTGACTGCCTCCAAAAAGTGTAATCTGTGAAAATGACTACATAAATAGCATGTTTTTTCCCATTGCTATACAATGCACTTATAAATTCAAATATATGTAACAGCAAACATGCACAACAATATTCCTTCTGGTGCTCACTTAATAGAAAATTACGCCTTTAAATTTTATACTTAAACAAAAGGTATCTTTCGGTTTAAAAATTCGAATTATGACTGTGATATATTCTGCCAAAATATATCTTACCCGTCAATTTGTTAATGTTACTTATGTAACGTGGTTCACATCCATTGTGAAAGTTTATGAATGCTATGCGACCTCTTCCTTTTAGCGTAGATAAAGGTGTGATTTTTCTTGGAATGTGTACAGCATCTAGTCTTGAAACCTTGAATGCAAGTGTAACGGGCGGTAGTGTTCAACATTATACAGCAATTTAGAAAGTTTTTTTAAACCAAAGGACACAATTTCCTTAGAATTGAAGTTATAGAAGTTACAGTTTGCTGCCAAGGGAGTACAGGGGAAAAAACGCTGTGCATGTTTCGTGTAAAACATACTTGATTTTATAAGATCATCGAAATATAGGGAAATGTATACTACTTAAGTAGCCATTTTCTGCATAATTTAATGTTTGCAGACGGTCCGAAAGAAGCTCGTTCGAAAGCCAGTATCGTGATCTGACTGAAAGATCTTGACATTAGGCTGTGACCTTACTCAAGCTTTTTTTTCGAATCTAAAATACGTTCTAGAATTTCATGAGACAGGAAATCTAATGTACACGAATGAGAGGGAATATTCGCATTCCAGGTCTGTCTATTGGTAAAGAAGAAAAA